GCTCTAGGTCAGGGTAAAGAGACAGATGCTTCCTTTGACTTTCTCTGACTCCTCTCTTCCTCCTCCTCATTTTCAACCCCTTGAATCAGGAGCTTTGGTTATCTGGGTCACTTCTGAGCATTAGTCTTGGATCTGAAAATTGTCACACCCCACCTTTATCCAATACTATTTAGGCAACCAACTAGCGCTTGCTCTCTACGTAGTTCCCTTCCTGGACCATGTCTTACGGATGTGCTTATGATATATCTGAAATTTCAAGTGAGAATCACCCTTTGTCACTGATGCTGCAGCGCTGGAGATAAACTATGAAAACAATAGAAATTTCACCATTCTCTCTGTCCCTCTACAAAATAACCCTAATTTGTTCTTGTTTGATTTCATGGAGAGGTGTATTATCAATTTAATGTATTATTCATTTAACTTGTATATGTTTTGCTTCTAGTCAAAAGACAAGCTGGGTGACAGTATATCCCAAGTGGTACCCAGTAACAATTTTTTTTTACCAGTTTTACTAGAAGCAAAATGATTAAAAAGAAGAAAACTCTATGCAATTTAAAGGAGTATTCTTTTTTTTTGTGGGTTTTAAATTCAAAGTAGCCTTTGCATCGTGAGGTACATTTTAGGAATCAGTAGTTACTTGTAATGCTTTACATGACAAAATTAAATGTTACATCTTCGGTATTCTCTCTTGAGGGTCAAGTATGTGATTTGTAAATCATTGATGAACATAAAATAGCCTAATGGTTCATTGTTCGCCACTTGACCACAGTAATTCTGTTTCAACTTGATAAGGCCATGTAATTATTAGAGATTCTGAACTTTAGAAAAAAATGAAAGAATATATCAGAAATAGGCTCATGTTGTTAATTGACTTGGTCTGAAATGGTAGGCTAAATATAACAGACTATGATAATCATTTCTACAATTTTTTTCCTTACAAAATTAAGTTAGACATATTCCTATTTGTTGAATGAGGAACCAGATTTTGAAAGTTATGAAGTTATAGGCAGCTAGTGGTAAAACATGACTTGAGAGGTTTCAAACTGCAAAACCCAAGTTCTTTATAGTATTAAACAATTTCAAAAGGTACTCCAACTCTTTTGAAACTAATTTGTATGAAATGCCTCAATAACTATTACTTCAATTTGGAAGAATAGTCAAAAAACAACGGTTGTCCTTATATCATCTATCAGGGCTGATCGGCCTACAAGCAATGAGTCAGTAATAAATGTTATTTTATGACACTGGATCCAAAGATGAATAGACAAACCAAAGCATAAACAAGTAATGGGAATGATCTTCCTTCAAGACACAAGCACATAAAACAAAGTATCAAATATTAGGATCAAGATTAGGACATTTTGAAAAGATCGTCGGACAAGAATGAGTTAAATTTTGGGCTTGTTATTTTAAGATAATTCTGATTTTTGAATTTGCTCATCCTGCATATATTTTTATATTGTTATTTTAAAATAAATGCTATCATGAAGAGTGAATTATTTTATGGTTTAAGAGGAGATAGAAGAGAAGATATAGGCCTCATAAAATTCTGGTTCAAATTACAAGTTAAATTATAAGTTCAGCCAAACAATGTGCCCTTTATCTGTGGAGAATTAATTACATTTTTGGATACTAAAATATATGTTTACTTTTTTAATCCCCTATGCTTTCAGAAAACATTAGAATAGTATCTGGTAATTTAGGGGTAGGGACTAACACTATCAATTATCTTCCCACTGGTCTCAGTGGTTTTCCTATGGAGTAATTACTAATTTTAATTTCAGTTTTTACTTCTTAGTTTTGAAAGGACAATTTGAAAAATTGATGTTAACATTGTCAGAAATAGTGCTTAATGGCAAAATTTGTCAGAAATTTTAATGAATTGTTTGAAAGTTGCTATTAGAGAAGATCTTAAACATTTTCATCACAAGAAAAAAAAATATAACTATGTAGGATGACAGGTGTTAAGTTGACTTCATGTATCATTTTGCAATGCATACAAATATGGAAGCTATGGTGTACACCTGAAACTGACATCAAGTTTTAAACGGCTTTAACTATTTAAAAAGGGTCTTCGCTATGTTCAGGGCCTTCCTGGTGGAGCAAGAGGTTGGGCATAGCACTGTGAAGCTGTCCACAGCCTCTGCAGCATGAGTTCAATCCCCGTCCAGCCAGGGAGCTACCCACATGGCGCAGCAGACCTCTCCTGTCTCACCTGCTGCTCCTCTGAGCAGTGCATTTCAGTTCATCTGCCTGTTCTGTTCCCCACTCTGTCTCTGATGAATCCTTTCAACCCTCACACCTATGGCAGATACCCCAGTTCTTGTATGCATAAAATAATAAAAATAAATCTTAAAAAAATCAAAATAAAAAGGCATGTTCATATGAAACATTGTATAGACAATAAGATGACAGAGGACTAATGCCTTTCAACTCTGTAGCTCCTTTGTGCTCATTGCAAGCCCTTGCAAAGATCATCCTTAAAAGGACATTTGCCTATGATATAGAAAAGCATTCACATTTTTCAGCTAGAAATACAATTTTTTTTTTTAAATTATAGTAATTCATGCTTCATGTTCATTTTAGATCACTAAAGAACACAAGAAAATAAAATGCATGGCCTTTCCTAGGAATATGTTCCCTCATTTCTTCTTTATCTTTTTCCTTGTCTTCCATCTTATACTCCAAAGAATCATCATTATAGAGCATTATTGAACATCTTCCATGTCCGAGACCTCGCACATATAACCTGATCTATAGGATAGACTGTCCTTTTCCTGACGATGTAAATGTCAAGGCTCGGACCATTTACCAAGATCATGAAGTGACCAGAAGTTACATAATGATTGCAAATGTGGAAACAATTCGATTTTAAGGCAAGTGGATTGGTTTTCCTTTTAAGAAAGTTATTTTATGTTTTAAAAATATCAGTTCAAACACTTGACCATGTATTTAAATATTTATCTGTGGATTAAATAAAAAGTAAGAGTAACTTCGATTGGAACGTGATTCTCTTAGTTGAATATGGTTCCCCCAAACATTATTTTAGGCTTAGTTACTTCTTTCATAGATAAGTCAGTAAGCATATGTGTAATAACAGAAGATTAAATAATGTGAACTTTTAGAAATAAGATAATGTACAGAAAAAAAGTGCTCATCAAAAACACCACAACCAACTGTAACTACAAAAATGTATCACGAGATGGCCAAGTAAATATACTTAATATTTCTTGAGAATTTACTTTTCTGTTTGAGTAATACATTTGGGCTCTTCTTATGATAGACAATTGGAAAACTGCCCCCCATGATTTCATCAGTCAAGTATTAGGAATTATTGATCATGCAAAAAAGGTAAAATTATATTTATGGAAAAATCAAAATTTCAGTGAACTAGCTGGGCAAGTTTTCTTTCCTTAAAAAATATCAATTCTTCATTGTTAATAACATAGATGGCGGGAATAATCATGGATCCATTTAACTTTGTTCTCAGAGGCAAAGTGAAGTTTAACTTGTCTCACAATTTTTAGGAATTGGTTATTTTGTAAATTTAGAAAAGTTCAGATTTGTTCAACACCATTAATTTCCTTCCAAAAGAAATAATGTAGGTGATCTTTAGATGCTTATAAAAATTTCTCTATAATTTATTAGCAATCTAATCCCACCTGTAATGAATATATAATTCAAAAAAGAATAATCCTTATCAGTAGAATATAAGCCATAAGAACAGAGACCATATTTATACTTTCTATCCTTTCCTCCTCATGGCTCAGGAACTGTTCTGACCCATTGTGGGTTCTTAGCATACTTGCTGAAATAATGAATGAATGAATGAATGAATGAATGAATCTAGTGGAATTATCCTGTGGCCTCGTCAAAGCAATTCTATACACCTTTTTTTTTTTTCAGTTTTAAATGTCAGCATTGAAAAACTACCTCAATGTGTTAGTTTTTCAGTTGTTATGATTTAAAATTTTTTGTTTGGTGGGCGCTATATGTAGCTTATTCCAACTGTAGAAATTAGTGGCATTTTTTTCCTGTAAAACAACTACAAATGATGTTCTGAGTAAATATAAAACTTCCAAAATAAGAATCTTATTTATATATACTGTGGGGTTTCCTCCATAAAGAAATACACCAGGACAAAAATCATTCTGTGAGAATTTTTTCCTGTTCTTTTTTTTCCCCCAAAGAGAAAATGTGTCAAAAAAAAAGGAGGAATGTGAATCAGCTGCCATGTAAACTAAATTCATTCCCCTGTGGCCCATCTGTTGAATTTATCTCCTGAATGTATTGCTCTTAGAATTCCCAGGACAAATTTTTCTTGAAAGATGATAAATCAAACTACATTTACAATGTTAAGCTAAAGATATATGCTAGTGATTATATTGACTAGTCATAACTTCCTCATAAATATTTCCTTTAAAACTATCTATAAAGTTTACAAAATGCCAAAGGTAAAGGCCTTACAAAGACCTGGTAATCACAAAAGAATTTTGGTACTTTAGAGATAATTTTCTTGTTTTGAAAGTTTGCTTGTTTAGCTCCTGATAACTCAGCATAGTTTAAATTTAGTAATGTTTAAACTCCATGATCTGTGCTAAATCAGGGCATGCGAGATTCCCAGGTTTTCTTAATATCTAAAATTCATGAAAGCAAATCATCTAATGAATTCTGGAATCACAGAGCAAAAGACATAGTTCTGTTCAAAATTTGACTTGACAGAATGAGTTCCATGAAGCACAGAAATAACTTTTTAAAAGGTGGTTTGTCCAGGACTGCAAAGTACTGGAGCCCTTTTTTAAAAAAGAGACTTCCACACCTCAAGCTATTTTTCTCCCTAGTCTGCTCTGCTCCCTTTCCTCCTCATTAGGTGGCACTGTCTCTCACACTTGGAAATGCAGAGATTAAAACTGAAAATACTAACCTCTCAGGGTAGACATTCCCTGTTAAAAAACAAAACAAAAAAGCAGGGTAGATAAAGAGAGCCTGTACCCACTCACCCAAATCAGAACACTGGACCACACGGAGGTGGCACTGACAGCGGAAGGGACACATAGGTCCCAGAGGCTCTAGGTCATGAATGCCATCTTCTGTGTCTGAGCTATCTTCCGGGCCTGTGCCAGAAGCCTCATCTTCTAGCATAAAGTCAAATAAGCCTCTCTGTTGAAAAGGTCCAGCCCAGGAAACTTGTGCAAGCAGGAGGAAGATGATAGTTGCCTTCATGTTTTATCTCATGTAGTATTACAACCAGGGAACCTGGGAAAGAAACAAAATTTATTAGAGTAGCATTGGTTTTGCTTATGTTTCTTATTTAACACTATGGAGGTAGCATAGAGAAAACAGAAAAAAATATAGTTTGCCTCTTGTTAGGAAACAGAGCATTGGAAATATATTTGAAAGGGGATAAGACACGTTATAGACTTAAGTTGCACACTTGTGAACACTAATTTTAATATCATTTAAAGCTGCTTGTTTGAATTTTGGGTTTGAATTAAGAAAATATATATTCAAATATATATATATATATATATATTTGCAAAATGATGATGGTGTTAAATCATGTTGGAATTTTCAATTTTCAAAGAACACAAACCATGCCACAGCCAATACATTTGTCTGGACACATGACAAATCTCCAATTCCTGCTTCACAAATATCTCTGAAAGCCAATCTCATATTTCCATTTCATTGTATTTATCATGGTGCAGGCCTTTCTCATCACCCTCTGAACTTTGGTAAGAGGTTCCAAATGGTAAATGCCTTGAATACTTTGTCTAAACCAGCCCATCTCCTACTCTGCTGCCCAAGTCATCGTCTAAACATTAAATTTTAATGTATTAATCTTCTACTGGTCTTCATTCACTCTTCTTGGTTTGCCAATAAGGTCCTCCCCTGTGCTGCAAGTAAGATCACTCATAATGTGGTGCCAAATGATATTCTAGCCATATTTCTCTAAATAGATTTATCTCCTTTTCACTCCATTCCCAGTTGCTACCCTCAATATGGACACCCAAATCTACAGCCATTTAAAATGCCTACCTTGTAAGAGAGTTGTAAGGATCCAATGAGATAATTGGCTTTCCTTGTCTACTCCTTGGTTCATCCAGGCAGAATGCTGTGCTCTCCCTATCTGTGCTCCCAAAGCACATTGCTCTTACCTCTTTTAAAGAACTTATCGCATTATATTATGATTTGCTTTGCGTGCTGGCTCTGCCTCCCCCTTCCCAGAAGAAGTGTTCTTTCAGGGTGTGTCCTATTATTCTTTGTTCTGTACTCCAGCCTTACACAACAGTATGCACAAAAATGACTCAATGGACCATAAATTTATTAATAATACAAGTTACCCAATTTGTTCCATGCAACCAGTCTATTTTTTTAAAAACAAAATTATCTTGTTTTCAATATTAAATTTTTAGCATCAGATAGCAAATTGAAAACCTCAACTTGGTATAATTCAATTTTAAAAATAAATTTTAGTGAGTTTCTCAAATTATTTACTCTTAATAAACCATAAACATACACAGAAAACACTAAAACTTTTATACAACATATGTTATTTAGTTTTACCAGTAGGGCTAATCTGTAAACAAACAAAATAGTTTTGACAAATCCATCCACTATTTACCCCTTAATTCAATGTGCACTTACAGATATATACGTTTGTTGCTGAGTTAGTTGTTTAGTTGACTGAAGTAACTAAGAAAATCTGAATAAGAAAAAGTAGTTAATCATATAGAGAACAAGTAGACTATTTTTGAGTTGATATATTTTGAAAACCCACTGAGACTGTTCTAATTATAACCAACACATATTGTAGATATAATCTTTAGTTTCATCATCTTTGAATTGTATGCTTATAACAATACGTATTGAAGCTGCACATTCACAACTAGAATTAAAGCGTTGTTTGGAGTCATACTCAGTTGTAACATATTAAAAGATAAAGTACCCATTAGAATCAAAGAAAATAACTTTTATGTCCTAAACTTAGTGTATCTTTGGGGAAATTTTGCCTGGGTTCACTTGCGAGAAAACAAATGTTTTACAATCTCTTACACGATTATTTTTAGTTTATATTTATTCCTGAAGTATGTCTAGGACAGCATATATATAATACAAGCTTATGGCTTTCCACTTTAAAATATACCATGGAGATTATTATTCACACTTCCCTTTAAGTTCAACATCGAGTTTTCTCAAGGTGCCCATTCCTTCTCAGTTACTACTTTGCCCTTTAAAGGAGACCCTATTGTTCTGGCAACGTTTCCTTGGAGTGGATCTATGGGAGTGGTTTTCTGTCTGTTTCACATTAAAATGCAATGTTTATGGTTTACCACAAGTTTGCTAGCCTTGCATATTTAATGTCTTACAATTTTAGAAAAAAAAATGAAGCAAAGTAATTGCAGATTTAATAAACAAGAATTAATGCAGATGTTGCTTTTTGATCTTTTCTGCAAAGCAGAAAATGTCTGGTTGCTTCCCCAATCCAAAAAAGGAAATGTTGAGCATAAACTCAGAGGAATATTATCATTTATCATTTATATTTGTTTACTCTAGTTAAAATGGTGCGAATTCTCTACATAATATTGTTTTTGGTTAAAACTTTAAAACTTAAAGCAAATAGGCATCTTATAGCTTCCACTACTTAATTTACATCACTTTCTTGGTGTGAGAGTGTGTGTGTGCATTTTAATCCTTGATGCCCTGGGGGGAAAACAATAACATGTCCAGGACCTTAATACAAATTCTTCCATGAAACAGATCCTTTTAATTTAGTGTCATGATACTTTAAGCCCTAGTATCTTAAAATAATTAGTGCAGAGGTTGATACTAATGATTTATTTAATCATTTCCTTCTTTCCTAAATAAATCAGAAAAACAAACAAAAAACAGCAGTTGCCCATGTAGTGACCAAGGAAACTATTATTAAAATCATATGCTTTTTAAATTCTATTAAAATTCCTTTAAATATTCTCAAAATAAAACTCTTTCCGAAATGCTAATTAGCAATTATTCAGTCCATTAAATTAACTCTACCATTCAGATCAACATAACATTTGAACATCATTTATGCCTTTGGTATGACTTTTATCCCTCAAGAGATAAGTGAAGATGTAATTACAGAGCAAAATTAAAATCCCCCAGTGCTAGATGAATAACAAAACTTCCACAATAATAGAACTTATTTAATAATAAGCAACAGTAGCATCTAATCATAAATAAAGGCTACCCGAGGTTCATTTGATTTTTTTCCTCTGGTCAAAAGCAATAGGAAGAAAAAGCCACAGGTATTTACATCACTTTGAACCCACTTAACCAGTGGTCATGTTACCCAGTCTTGAAATCAGAAGAAAAAATAACCTACACCCTATTTTACAGTGAATGTAGCTGATAGTAAAAAGTTCATTTGCATTGAAAATACTGACAGTGTCTCTTTACATTTAAGGAGTTATGGAGCTAACTGTGAGATTATCTTAATTAGGTCTTTAATAATCAGCATGAATATCTCAATATTGATAACTTCTGTGGGTATAATTTTTATTCTTTTCTAGGTTGTAGAATTATACACTAGACCTCTATAACTAGTCATCAGCGTTCAGTTTGCTAAGGTTTTAAAAGTTCTTAAAATATACAAGAATTCAGGAGGGGAACACACTTTTAAATATATCATTCAGCTAGGAATAGTATGCTCATTTAAAATACTTTTCCATAAACACTTCCTAAAGTGCTAAACATTTTATAAGTACAAATACAAAATATATCACTATAGATAATCACAGTGCTAAATTATAGTTTTCTTTTTATAAAAACATCTTTGCAAGAACAGAAAGAGCTAAAACAATTCATTCAACCACTTTACCAAATATTTAACGTCTGTTTTCAAGCAGTACTTGTTTAAAAATGTTCCATAAAGATTACTAAAAGTTTAGCATGATCGTTGTTTTTCTATTCTTTTTCTCACCAAGTAAGTCCTTTTGCTCTCAACTTGAATGAAGTTTTATTAGTCTGTAGCAGAGTTCAGGACAATTATTGAAAACCATACCTTTTAATCCGGGGATTTGCCACAGGAACCCTCAAAGCTGAGATGTAATTACACTAAATTCAGCCCAAGCAAAAGAGTTTGCAGGTGTGGAAAGAGGAGGGGTAGGTGCTGCTCTGTGACTGTCACTAGGTTGAAAACCTCCTGCTTCTACTCCATAGCACAGTTAAAAAATAAGGTTTCCCTCAATGAACACAATCCGGCTGACACCCACATTAGATCATATGGTAATGATATGTCTCTTGTATTGTAGCCAAAAACTTTATCGGCCTTTTTTTCTCCCCATTTGCTTTATTCCTTTTGCATCTGCTTAAAATTCTAAACTCCTTATGTAGTGGAGTGAAGCAACTTGAATTGAAATTTGTCTTATAGTGTTGATTCAATTCCCTAAAATATTGTAACTAAAGGGTTTGTCTCCCCACCCCCAACCTCATTCCATCACCCACCCCTTCTCGTCTTGTTTATAAGTAACGTTTATTATAATTCTGAAATGACAGTTTTTCTTGCTTTCAAGGATGTATGAGTCCGGCAAATGGAATGAAATTAATCTTGTAGTTATTTTAAATGTGGTCTGTGAAAATAAGCAAGTAGGCTTATGTGAAAATACTCATTCGAATTCTTGCTTGCTTTGGGCTGTTTGTGCAAGTTCAAGTACTATGCTGTGGGGGTTTCTCTATACTTTGAATGTATTTCTAAAATGTTCTGGAAGAAAGCCATGGTTTTACATGAAAAGCATGTTATTTATTACTTTCATTACTCCTAATTTAAAATATTTCTTATCAATTGTTTTTGCTTTCTTTAGATAAATAAAACACATAGATACTAAAGTTGGTCACAATTTAATTTAGCCTATATGTGAAAAAGTTGATTTTCATAGACAACACTTTTATATAATCCAGTATTTTGAAAAGGCAATAGAGTTTATGACTCTTCCAAATTTCAGTAAATAGAAAGTAAAAAAAAGTGCAAACACAAGGAAAGATATTTATTTAGCCACTGGAAAGTTTTTTTGAGTTTTTTTTTTCCCCCTAATTCCCCTTCTGGATGCTGCTAGTTCTTTCTATGTTTTGACTTGTATCTTTATGCAGTGGCCCCTAGGCTGTTACCAGGTGGAAACGTGAAATTAACATCTGTGAAACATGAGCACATACCCCTCCAGTCATCCTCTCACCGCCACACTCCCTCGTTCCCTTCACTAGCACTGAAGTCTACAGTCCTATGGTAAATATCCTTTTGCCTTGACTAAACGTGAAGGAATTGAATACCTCAGTCAATATCTACAGAAGGAAGGGTGTTATCATGATACGTTACATTATTATCCAAGCCCCTCTCATTTTAACACCCTACCATAGTCCTCTACTGTTAATTTATTTTAATTTAATGATCACATATCCAATTATTCTGATGGCTTAGAAAAAGGAAGTTTTATTTTCCCTGGACACTGGGACACTCTTACACAGGTAAGAGTCCATGATCCTCTTACCTGGAGTTAGGTAATTTCTTCCTCTAAACTCTTTTTGTATGGCATTTACCTCTTTCTTATGACAAGCAATCTCTTCTTAATATCATGGTTATTTATATATATGTCTTACCTCTAAGGAGGAAGCACATCATGTTCATCTTTGCAGAGCCCTTGCACCAGCACACTCATGGATTATAATGAACTCTCAAGAAACACTTGGTAAGTGACGATATAAAGACAGTTCAGATCATTGATCATGGACCACACCACGGTTATTGTTTGCTGTAGCCCTGGTTTGCTCTTTGTCAAAATCCAACCCTGCAGAAAAAAGAAAGGGTATGTGAAGAATAATGGTAGTAATTTTTCCAAACAGAGACAGAGACTGAGAAAAAAGTTGACTAAAAATTTGAAGCAAAAGATGGAAGAAGTAGATTTGGAGAAATGGAAGAAAATACAAAGCTTATTTTTATATAGTGGACTTATTTTGGTTAAGGTTCACATCTTGCATCTTCCCTCTCATGAGTTCAGATTTCCGTATCTGTAAAATAGCTAAACAGTATTATCAAATACATAATGTAGGAATGAAGAACATGAGTCCAATAAATTGAGTTCTCCATAAATGCTAGTTTTTTTTTTCACTTATAACAAATGCTTGAGTTGAACAAGGAAATCTTATTTACTATCTCCATTTTACAGATGAGCAAACTAAAATATTCTCATTTGTGTCCAAATTCACAGAGCTGGTAGGAAACACAACAGAAAGTAATTCCTAGGTCCTCTTGCACCTAATTCATATTACATTTTAAGAAAAATCAAATTCTTAAGATATAATTATTAATTATCAGAATTCTTAGGTATCATGACCTTAGAGACTAAAAAACTGTGACATAGTTACAATTCTTTTTGAACTTTATATTTGTGGAGGAACAAAATAAAAATTTTAGGATCAACCTTACTTCCAAAACCCCATGGTTTTTACCAAATAACATCTCACTGTAAGATCTGTGGGGCGGGGAGTGAGAGGATTCACCAGAGACAGAGTTGGGAACAGAACAAGCAGACTAACTGAAACACACTGCTGAGGGGAGCAGCAGGCAAGACAGGAGAGGTTGCTGCACCATGTGGGTTGCTCTCTGGCCGGCCAGGGATTGAACTTGTGCTGCAGAGGCTTCAGATTGCTTCATAGTGTGGTGCTTAACCCGTTGCACCACCAAAGAGGCCCCTACATCCATTTTTAGATAGAAGAACTAAGTCACAACAAAGTTATATGCAGTTAAGTCACAAAGAAGTCACTGGGTGACAGAACACAGAATCCAGGTCTCTTGCAATGTAATGCGAAATGGAACAATTTTGAGCCTGGAAACATAGCTTGCAAAGAGACAGCTTAAACTCACCCTGGCTTGGAATGTTTGGAAGGTAGGATTCCCTAAAACCTTGGCTGCCTTATGGATATTTGAAATATTCGAATTCTAAATATATGCCACATCACCTATTGAAACCACTTAACCTGGGACTCCCCAGTGGTGCAGCGTGTGGAGCTCAGTTGTCTGCAGCCTCTGCAGCATGGGTTCGATTCCCAGCCAGCCTGGGAGACACCCACATGGCGCAGCAGACCTCTCCTGTCTTGCCAGCTGCTCCCCTCAGTAGTGTCTTCAGTCTGTCTGCCTGTTCTGCTCCCCACTCTGTCTCTGGTGAATCCTCTCACCCTCCGTGCCTCTGACTATACCCCAGTTCTTGTATAAATAAATCTTTAAAAAAAAATGAAACCACTTAATCCGTGATTTCTACTGACAACCCATGAGCTAACAGGGTAACTGCATTCTGCAAGTTTTCAGAGTTCATTTCAAGGTTAATCACTCTTTCTCACCAACAGCAAAAACAAATGATTTAAATTGTACCTGCCTGTTAAAGATATGAAGAATACCAGAACTTAAAAGGTTTCCTACTGACACCCTTTTATTTCTAAGAGGTCTGGAAGCAAGTGATTATCATCACAAACCTGATGTGAATGGTTTATTCTTAGATTAACTCTTCAAAGTTAGGTCAGAGCCTGGAGAGGTTGTCTGGCTCATCTTGCATCCCTAGACAGATTTTCTTCCTTGACCAAGAAAGACCATTTGGGTGGAATTTAGATCAGCCCTGAATATGGGTAACTCAAATCAAAATGTGGTAGTGAAAACTATTACCTTGGACATCCTCTTTCTTTCCTCTATTCTGTTGACCCATCACTAGTTAGCCTTGTGCTTAGTCCAAGTAATTTAACTTCTTAATCTAATGTGTATGTGGTTTTAAAAAGGTCGATACATAAAGCGTTTAGAATTGTGCCTGACACAACTCAAGCAATACTTAAACAACTCAAGCACAATTGTGTCTGATCAACTCAAGCAATACTATCCTTGGGTACTGCAGCACTATAACCAGACTGCACCCCTTTCCTAGCCCATGCATGGTATTTTCTGCCTGTGTGAGAAATCACCTAATCCATGACATAGTTGGAAAAACAGCAACTCTGCAGATAGATAAGTTCTGGCTTAGCTTCTAAGATCAGGAGACTGGGTGCATTCAGGGTGGTGTGGTTGTAAGACTAAGCTCTAGTTTAAACTTAAACTTCTGCTTTGTATTTGTTAAAGAACTCCTTGGCTTTCTTTGTGCATAATATTTTACTGGTTTCCACGTCCTGCTGAAATCCATTCATGGACTTTAAAGGACTCAGAGACTCCAGATATACTCTGAGCAATAATACAGAAATAAGAATAGACAAGGACTGGGAAATTATATATAAAAATAAGGAACATTTACAGAGGTATGTGTCTCTCTTTCACCAAGAGGTATAAATTTCCTGAATTCTCTGACTCTTTTCTTGAAGGCTCAGAAACATCTCTTTTCTGGCAGGAGATTTATTATCCTATCCATAATAATGACCATTATGGGTCAAATTGCCAACATTTATAGAACAACCAGTAGTTTATCAAGAAAGGCTCATACTTCTCCACAAAATAGAGGTAATTTCCAGTAAGCTATCAATCTGTTAATCAATTGCTAGCAAATATTGACTAAGGTACAACTTTGGGGGAAACAATACTAGGTCCTGTGGAAGAAACCTAGAAACAAAAAGTGTAAAGGGAAAGGCATGTTATTCAGGACGTTTACATTGCAATAAGGGCGTAGTGCGATGTTTCACATACACATGATGTGTATACATATACTGTAGTTTAAGATTCTTATACAAAAACACTTTTAATACACATTATAATCATAATTTCTAGTCTAAGGTAAGTATAATGTAATTTAAAATAATTGCCTCTGCATGTCAAAGGCTGGGTCGGGGGAGAGATCAACTTTACACAAGAGTAGCTAGGTAAGTGTTTATACAAAACAAGGTACAATTTGAGCTGAATCCTGGGGGCTTAAAAAAATGTGAAAATAGAGACAACTATAAACTTATTTTCTATAATTTATAATAAATAAGTATAAGCTTATTTATTTTTATTGAGATCATATTGGATTATGATGCTGTAATGATTTGAAGGTAAAGGATCACACTTAGTGACAAATTTTGAGCCTGGGGGAACAGCACTATCAAAGCCTTGGCAGTGGGAAAGAAAGAAACTAGAACAAAATCGATGTGATTTAAGTGGACACTTCCTTTCAAGAAGCCATAAGCTTTTTTATGAGCCTTCAATACCCAGTAACTACCATGGTGTCTGGCAAGTCTAAGTCACACAATAAATGAATGTTGCATGTTTATAATAAAAACTAAAGGTTGATAAGGAAAGAAAGGAGAGTCTGAATGTGGAAGGATTGAAGGGCTGTCATGAGGCACTTATTTTATTCATTCCTCAATTCAGCAAAT